GGTAATTCCTTTACTTCAAATTTGTTACAATTTATTCATTATTTAACTGTTGCTAATAAATATTTATATTAACTATGTTTTTTTAATATTGTTGTAGCATATGGGATGACTGAACCACGATTCTACTACTATTATAACATCTTGAGGCAATGTGACATAAAAGTAGCTAATTGGTTTGATGAGATACCTAGAAAAAAATGGGCACTTGCATGGGACAATGAACGGCGTTGGGGCCACATGACGACCAACATAGCAGAGTCTATCAGCTTTGTTTTGAAAAAAATAAGAAATCTGCTCATTTGCTCCATGGTCAACGCAACGTACACCCGTTGCAACAAATTTTTTATTGAAAGAGGGAAACAAATAAATGTCATGATCAACGTTTGTCATGTATACTATGAAATGTTGGTCACAAATTTAAAGGAAGCACAAACACAGACGAACATGCATAGGGTCATAACTTTTGAAAAATCTACTACAAAATTTGTAGTAGAAGAAACACAAAACCAGCGTGAAGTTCGACCAGTAGGGAGGTTTGTAGTTCGCCTTGATAAGTTGTGGTGTGACTGTGGGAAATTTCAGAAATTTCACATGTCTTGGTCATATGTTCTTGCTGCATTCAAGCATGCACACCATGACTTCAGCAACTACATTCATCTAGTGTATACCTTACAACAAGTTTCAAAGGTATACGAAACAAAAGTTGGGTTGCTGCGAAATGAAGAATATTGGCCAACATACACAGAACCTACTTTGTGTACAAATCCATAAATGAAAAGAACTTCAAAGGGTCGACCAAAATCAAGTCGTATAGGAACTGAGATGGATATTACAGAAAATCAAAGTAAGATGAAAAAATGTTCATTTTGTCATACCCCTAGTCATAGCAGAAGAACATGGCTCAATGTTGCACGTGCATCTACTTCGCATCATTAGATTGTGTTAGTTAATAAATGCCTCAATATACTATAAAACTTAAGAGTTTTTCAAATAATAAAATTTCTTCTTTACTTGATTAATTTAGAGTAATTATTTTTTATTTATACAAATAAAATTATAAAGTATTATATATAAACATATAAATAAATTACTTTAAATATACATTAAATAATTACAAATAAAAAATATATATCAAATTAAAATTAAAAAAAAATAACTATTTATAAATTATATATATTATATAAATTATAATTATAAAGTTAAAAAATTATATTTAGAATTATAACCTTAAAAAAGTTATAATTATAAAATTAATAAAAATATATCTATTTTTAATGTTAAATAAATTATATATATATATATATATATATATATATATTACATAAATTAAAATTATATATATGAACTTCAAATTAATTATATATATATATATATATATATATATTTCATAATTAAAATAATAATTATAAACTTAAAAATAAATTATATTTAGAATTATAAAAAAAAATCTATTTATAAGATTAATAAAACAAAAATAAAAACTAAAAAAATTAGAAAAACCCGTTCAAAGTTCGTTTCTTTGGAGACCGAATTCTGACTGGAAAAATAAAAAAAAATAGAAATGGTAGTTCAGACCATAAATAGTATTAAAGGGGTAAATAATATTATAGAGACGTTGTTTTGTGATAACATAATTAAGTTTTCCATCTCTATAATTTATCTCTCTCTCTTTATATATATATATATTAAGAATTAAAAAAATATTTTTCTTATTTTTCTATCCAATTTTGTTAAGAAAACATTATATTCATAATGTTATTATCAATAAAAATGATGTTAAGTATTGTGATAGAATTTTACAGGCAGCAAAAATAAAAATGATTTTTTTTTAATTTATTGGAATGTAAAATGAAAAAGTATACCAGCTTAAAAAATTGACATATATTATATGCAAATATGAAAACAATCCAATCTTGAATATGATGTATATATTTAATTGGAAATTAATATATAATAAAAATGTTAAATATAACAAGTTATATTACAGTAATCCTATATTTTTCTCAAGATTTTTCTCAAGAATGTTTAGATTTTGTGTTTTTCCAAACGTGCATGTTAGAGAAGGAAGAATCTGCAAGGTGTGTACGAGACTAGAAAGTGGTTTATGCAATTGAGTATAATTAATAGCGTTGAACAATGGAAAGAAAATAAATAAATAAATAAATAAATATATTGAAAAAAAAAGGTGTCAATATTACACATTGTTAAATTTTAGATTTTTATTTTATATTTTAATTTTCAATTAAACTTGTACATTATATTTAGAATATAATTATTTGTTGTGTTTGTAAATACGTCACAAATTTATTTGAGTTTATAATATATATATATATATATATATATATATATATATATATATATATATATATATATATATATATATATATATATATATCATTTACCATCTTTATAAGTTATGATTATTTTTTATTTATAATCTTTGTAAATATTTATTTTTACTTAGTTTAATATTATGATGATTGATTTACAATAAAATTAAACCAGAAACTAAAAATGAAAATTTTGAAACTGAGATATTATTCTGAATAAGAAATTACTAACACAATCTTTTTTGCTAAAGTAGAAGGATAAAAACTTCGTTAGAATTTTTTTATAACAGTCAATAAAATTGTAAAAATAATCACATAGTAAGATGCGACATGGTATTATATTTCTTGGGAGAAATCTCTTTATAAATAATTTTAAAAGAGAAAGAGGAAATAATTTTTTTATAAATTAAACTTAGAAATTTAGAAAAAACTCTACAAGATAGTTTTTACAAATTAATTAATTAATAAACTAAATTTAGTTTATAAAAAAATTCTTTTAAGTTTTGTAGAGAAAAACTTATCCAAACAAATCCATTAGCAAATTTCACGAACTTCTAATTAATTTGGAATTTTATTAGCTTAATTCTCTACAGACAAAAGTGAGACATTCATACTTCTTTGTTTACGTATCAACCATGTCAACACAAACACTCGAGTCATGAATAAACTATCAATTTAGTAATTGAAATCATACCAACCAATCAAATTGATCCTTGAAATTAATAAAATGATGAAATAGCCCCCGAAATTATACATCATCAATGAATTTAGTCACTAAAGAAAGTTAATTAAATTGATCGTTGAGATCAAATAAAAAAAATGATGAAAGTCATTAAAGTAATAAATCATCACTCAATTGGTCATTCAAATTGTAATGGTAAAAAAATTGAACCTAAGTTTAAAGGTTTAATGACGTTTCTTTCATGTTTATATTTCACTAGTGTATTATAAAGGTATAAGTGCAATTAAACCTTGATAATTAGAGTAAAATTTGTCTTAATATTGCAACTTTAAAAACTGAATTTATTGACAAATTATAGTTTTAAGGATCAATTTAACCCTATATTTTTAAAGACTACATTGATTGAGAATCCAAAAGCAAAGAACAAATTGATTCATGCAATTTGAAGGACTATTTTTATCATTTTATGAATTTATAGAATAATTTAACATATTATTACAATTTCAAGAATGATAGTTTAATCTTCTGCCGTTCCATGAATCAAAGTTCCAAAGTGTACAGAGTATTGGACCAGAAAATGCTGGACTTAGACTGAACATAAAATGGATTAAAATATATTTTACTATTTATAATCATGGATGCAATTCTCTTTATTTTTAATATTTTAAGCATTCACGCTTCAAAGGATATGCATCATAACAAAGTTCATTCTACTATATAACTATGAACGTAACTGGAAAAATCTACTTAAAACAGGGAAGATATGAAAAAACATAGTTGTCTCGGTACCAACCATTACAAATATAACTCAAAAGGTGAAGAGCATTTTGATTTTATCCAGTATTCATCTCAACTAGAAAAAACTACATTACGATATACTAAAAATTAAAATAGTTTATCTTCATTTTGAATCACACAAGACCCAGGTGTTAATATGGGTCTAACCCGTGAGTCAACCCGGCTCACCACGGGTTCGAACCGGGTTGGGTTCGATTTTTTTTATTTTTACCGATTAAGGGCTAAAAATGAACCCGGCTCACTTAACCAATGGGTTAAACGGGTTCGAGCCGGATTATGGTGGGTTGACCTAATTTTAAATTTTAAAAATAATTATAATAATATACTAACCTTAATTAATCATTTATTTTTAATTTTACAAATAATTATAATACTTTAGTAACCCTAATTTATGTTATCCTATCTTATCTTTACCTTACATTGTTGATTGTCGCCACAAGTTGTTATCAGTTGTTCACTACATCATTACGTTACTGCATTGCACTTTGGTCACTTGTCTTACTATCTATCCACCGCACCACTTCACCATATCCTCTCGTATTGCTTTTAAAGGTAAAGATTTGTTTCATAACCTAAATTATTTGATTGATGAATCTTTATTTGAAAATTGTAGCATCTATACATTATTTGTTATTGATTTATATGTATATCTCTTTAATATATGAATTTTTGACTTCTTTCTTTTAAATTAATTTACATTATGAAATCGAAACAATATATCAAAGTGTCAATGTAAATTGTATTAATGATGATTTTATTATTAATGAAAAACTCAATGAGTCAATTTTAGTTAATAATAAAGATACCGATGTTAAGAAAGAAAAGAAGAAAGCATAAGTTTCTACATCTAAAGTTTCTATATAATTTAAAAAATTAAAAAAATATAAATTAGTGAGTCAACCCACCTAACCCATAGTGAGTTGAGCCGGGTAATAAAATTTCTGGCTCGCCAAAAAGTGAGTCAGGTTGAACTCACCTATTTTCAGCTCAACTTGTGGTGACTCATTTTGACACCCCTACATAAGACATGAATAGACTATTTAAACTTTTTTTTTTTTTTTAAAGAAACAACTAGCCGCCACTAGTTGCATACAAATTTTGACAATCCCAACTAATATAACCCTAATTCATAACCAAAGTGCTTGGTAGGGCGGAAAGACCAGAGTCAAATGAAGACTCAAATTATGCAGCTACAGAGCATTTTGCAGAGACCATTTGCGAAGTAAAGCAGGATGAATGTCCGATAAGTACGGCAAATCAAGCATGCTAATGTAAAGGCATCCAATATCTCCAGGCACATTAAATTTACATTAATATTTGAGAGAAAATATTTACATACTTCTACAAAATAAGTTACATAACTCCCTTAACTAACAATGGCGATTAGGATAAAAGTACATTGTTGACTACATCTGCATTGAAAGTTCAGACCTCTTATGAATTTTTGCCAAGTCGACTAAATGGCGCATGGTTGGTCTGCCATGAGGACAATTCCATGGGGATTTGAGCTCAGCCATATGGTCAAGTATCTGAAACAGTTAGTGTAAGGTACAAATCACTCTATAAGGCTGTAAAATTTAAAATTCAAATTATTTAAATTTAGTTCCCACAAAAAATGATGCTTATCATCCACTTCTGCATTTTTTTATCATGTTTGTTAATGAAGGGGAGGGGGCAATGCTAAAAGTAACGTGCTGTACTACCTTCTGCATTTCATTTCTTCCAAGTGCATCACCAACCATAATTGATGATCGACATGCACGTGATGCCAACATTGCGCGAACTCTTGATGGGCAAATAGAATCTGAGGAGTCCAGTTTAAAGCTACCAACAATGGAACATTCCATGTGACCATCACCATCTGACAGGGTAGAGATGAGCTCCTTAACATCTGTTGGGGAAAATACTTATTGTTAATCACTCCAATAGATCATTCATTCTTTTTACGCTACTGAAAGTACCAATACATCATTTCAAATAAGCAAGTAATTCATTGAGACAAGGGATCTAGACGATCACAAGATTAAAAAATGCGTCCATCTTTAGATCAAAGCTTAGAGCCCGAGCATAAATATATATGAAAATTAACAACTTTGGTATCATGGAATGGAAAAATCTCAATTCAAAGGATACTACTAAGTGCATCATAATGATTTTCAAGAAGAAGCAGGCAAGGCTCCACAGATCCTTACAGTGGCTGAGGACTTCTCTTAAGTTTAACCACGATGTGAGTGTCATTTACGTTTCCTAATATATCCTAATGCATGTTCATGCAGAGAATTGTAGGTTTAACTTGTATCATAAGTCAGTTGAGGATGTTTTCAATCCTCAGTTAGTGTTAAGATCCTAAATTGTCGTCTTGATATTACTTGCATCATTTATCAACTTAAACCATGTTACTTAGGTAGACTTCCAATTCACCTACCTTCAATTCCAAACATCGTGTTTTTACTGAAGGGGACAGACTTTAATTTAAAACGGCATCCAGGTGGTGTATTTGGATCCTCTTCCAAAGTAAATCCATTCTTCCTGAATAATGAGGATAATGCAAATGCACGTCATTGACCACACTAAATCTCATAAAAGCAAAAACAACACAAAAGTACCGCAATGAAACTTCGTAAATAGGAAACTGAATTCAATTTCAGTGAAACCTCAATAGACAAAAGTAACCAAACGATAAACTGGATCAAGAATAATGGACCAATAGCATACACCTAAGCAAGACAATCTTTCAGAAATTACGCAAAAAGTTATGATATGGACCAAGGAAGTTGTCAAGCTCAGTTCACAGCTGTGATTTCTGTTCATACAAGCCACTCAAGTTTTACTAGATAGAAATAGATGCCAAAAACTAACTATTTTTTACCAATTAAGGTAACCCAGGTCACCCATTGAACCAACTTAGCATTAAAACAGTGCAGTATTTTGATCACAGCTTTCATGTTGGTCATAAGTGATTTCTGCATATTGATTTTTATAAATCATAACTGGTACATAAGGAATTGATTTGGTTAAGGTGACAGTAGATCACAGCTATTATAAAAAATAATTGAGTACACAAGAAAAGATAATCAAGCTGATCATTTTTCAATGTTGACCATCTGATACAACTTATTATTAAAATCAAATAAATTAAACAAGAAGGTTAAAAGAGATACTTTTTAGCTCATTTATGTCCTGGCTATAGAAAACAGGAAATATAAATATTTTGATTGATGCAGGATTGACATTAGGATGTCGTTATGAAATCTAGTTTCTTGCAATAACCAGAAGATCACAAATAAGTAAAATTAAGATATCACTCCTTAATCAATATGGCTCTAGTTTTACCTGATTATGTCCATGTGCATTGATGCAACTATTTCTTCTTCGGGGGATAACTCCAAAGTTATTGGCCTACATATGACATTTTTATTGGTGATTTTAGATCGTGAACCAAAAAAAAGAAGAGATAAATTTCTGCCACATGCTATATCATCCATATACAGTAATTTTATTACATTAACAATCAAAGTTTCTGCTCCACGCATAATCTGTAATATTTTTAACTCAACAAGACCCTTGTACCATGTTATTGAAAGTTCCCTCCACTCCAGAAAGAAAAACAGGAATAAAAGGTATAATGATGGTTAGTGAATAATGATATAAGCTCCTCACCTAAGAAGGGGTTGTTGATTCAAGATGGTTGATTGTGATAGACGCTCAAAATTAAACTTCTCATCAGCAGCATGCTGAAAACGGTCATGCTCAAACACAAATTATGTTTTGGTAAAGAAGAAAAATTAAATTTAGCTAAAGGATCTGGTTATATGAATAAATCATTCAAGGAAATCGTGGAAGAAAACAAAGACCACTAATTCCAAAAAGCATATTGGTAATTACCTGATCCACAATGAATAAATCTTGATCCAATTTACAAATGATAAACCCAAGATTGAACTGCCCAATAACCTATTCAACCATGTTGCCAAAGTAATCATCAGTAAATACATAATATATGTACTCTGATCATGCAGATATGACTGAGCAGTTAAAGAATATATTTTAATTTTGGTATGATAATTTAGATATTGTGAATGTATTCAAAATTCAGAAACAAAAATGACTAGGGTTTTATGCAGGAAAAAATAAAAAACTCAAAAATCCCAAAACAGCTTAGCTCAACCATTTTCTGAGCTAGCAAACAACAAAAAACAGCACCATAATGTTATACAAAGTAGCATCAAGAATTGACATTTGTGCAAAGTAAAGCCTTACATAATGAAAAGATAAAAGTACTAGCAATTTTCATGAAATTCAAAATGAAGCATACTAAGTAAAGACCTTCATTCTACTGAAGTCTTCCTTCTTAAAAATTCTTTCAAGTTCAATAGCTGCTGCTTCCAAGGTCCTTTCTTTCTGATCTCCAACTTGTGATTGTGAAAGCTCTAAAGTTGCAGCCGAATAGTAACTAGCATTAATCATGGGTAAAAGTCAGTACATAGATATTTTCCTAGTTCATACAAAGGGTACAAAAATAAAAACCTCTTGGCTTTAGCTTTTCCACATCTAAATTTACTGGATTGCAACAGAGAAAGCCTCTTCTCTCTCCTTTTCTTAAGCTCTTGAAAAGAAAATTGCATGTTAGAGCATATCTTACGACCAGAAGACTTTGAAGAATCTAACTGTACAGGTGACGAGTGTAATGGAGGGTTTGAGGCAAAAACATCTGTAGTGATCATATCAATGCCAGGAGTAATTGATTGAATATCGGCTAGAGGTGTATTATTCTTTAGCTCGATTTCCTGTAAATCAGCACATACATATATGATGAAAACTATGATAAAATAGCAGTTTTTTTAATTGATTTTTCATTCTATTGGAAAGAAAAAAGATCTACAAGGGAAAGAAGGACTGATCTTCACCTTAGACAAAGCAACACAAAATGTACAATGGATGAGGCAAAGACATGAATACTACATTTACTTTTTTTTTTTTATTAACATCCTATGTTCTAAAACATAAATTGCTAGAAATGGTATTATTAATGATAAAATATCAAATACTTTAATAAACCAATATTAACATATAGTACAATTACATACAAGAAGAATTAAAAGTATCAATATATGAAATTTTAGCAGTTCGAGCCACAAACCATATTGGATTCAGGTTCTCTGCCAGATGAGTCACCATTAAAAGAAACTAATTTTTCAGTTTTGTGGTAAACGTTAACAGGATTAGGCTGCTTGAAAGATTCAATCTCACTTGCCCTAGCAGGTTCATCAATTTGGTCAAAACAAAGTGATGATCTTGTAATCAGGTCATTTGATTCGGTATTTGCAGTCTTCAATTGACAATGAAGAGCTTCATTTCTAAGAACAGGCACTTCAGATAAAGCTCTAATGACACTATCACGATTTCTTTTATTTATGGAAACAAAGTTGTTAAGAGTGGACTGAATATGTCTTGAACGGTCAAATGAATATTTACTAGAAGTGTTGCCACTCTCAATTGTCCTTGTGACAAGGGTAGCTTGATCAGGTATAATTCTACCTGGACGTGCTGACTGTCTTCCACTATTTTCATCCTTTGAAGAGCTATGTGCTCTTAGTGTGAACTCTTGGTTCATTAAATTCTCATTATTATCACAAATTAACCCTTCTTCAACAAGTGAGTACTGATACTCATTAATAGATTCAGAAACATTTTTTAAATCAGTAATATGTTTCTCCTCAAGTTCATCCCTAGTATCATTGTCGCACTCTGTATTCATTTTGTCTAGAGAAATGCTACCATTTGGGGATGATAGTTTCATTACAATAGGAGACTTCCCACGGGAGGAACATAACTCAACACACTCTTCTTTTTCAGCAGGCAGCATAACTTCATTAACAGAATAACAGACATTACTAGCAGAATAAATTTGTAGCAAGCCCTCTCTCAGGGCTTGCAATATGGCACTTTCTTCCGAAAAAAATATTTTCCTCTTGTCAGGAGTCACATTGACATCATACGCTCTTGTCGGAACCGTAAAATTCAAAATAGCAATAGGATACTGTTTGGAGTTTGCACCCTTATACAATTCATTCACAAGTTTGCTAACTTTAGGAATATCCACCGGTCTACCATTCACAAAAAAATACTGCTTGTCTCCCAAGTTGCGACCGTTACCCTGTCCCGACTTTGAAAGAAAACCTTCAACCTTGCAAGAATCAGATATAGACAATGTTACAGGCTCTAAGCAGTTGAAAGTGTTCATGCCAAGCACTGTTATGATGTTATCTTTAAGTGAACCACTTCCTTGCGTCTTAAGAACCACAGACCTCACATTTTTACCAGTCGTGTTGGTGCAGACAAAACGAACACCTTTTGCTATAAGCGCATAAGCCTGAAATATGTAAATCATCTCATTAACAAATAACTGAAATTATAGGAAAGAAAATAAGAATGTCAAACAAACTAAGTTTCTCTCATGAATTAGAATTAGCTAACTTGTAGAACTCTCTCATTTATTTCGATTTTCAAAGCTTATTTTAACTCATACATAAGTTAATTAGTTAATTTTAGTCTATGGAGAAAATTCATATTACCTTCTTGTTTTCTTGTCTTAAAAACACTAACTGAAAAGAATTCAAACAGGTCTGCATATTTTCACACAGAGGATAGAGACTCACATTCAACAGAGAAACCAATTTGCCATATTCCCTACGTATGTTACGACTGAACTCTTTGCTCCGAACAGGCAAATTGGAGAACAACTTTTTTACCATAACAGTGGTTCCAATTTGCCGAGCAGTTTTCCTTTCTGTCACGAGAACACCTGAATTATCGAAAGTCAAGTGCGTAGCAACTGGTTCGCTCACTGTTCTTGTTTCAACGGTCAAGTTCCCCAACGCGCAAAGCGAGCTCAGCGCCTCCCCACGGAAGCCAAAAGTGGTGAGAGACTGAAGATCGTGAAATTCCGCTAACTTCGACGTGTGATGCTTCAGCGCAAGAAGCTAAAAAAAAACGGCTAAAAATTGAAAACTGAACCCTAAAAACGATGGTTGAGGCGTCTTGAGTGAAAAATAAATAAATACCTTGAAATTGTTGGGAGCAATGCCGCAACCGTTGTCGATGACCTGAAACCACTGTTCGCCGAAGTCTTTGAGGGAGATCTCGATGCTGGTGGCGCCGGCGTCCAAGCTGTTTTCGACAAGTTCCTTGACGGCGGAAGAGAGGTCAAGGATAACTTGACCGGAGCAAATTCTATGGACGATGCCCTTGCCGATAGGCTTGATGATTTGAGCTTCAACTACCATTTCTGCTTCGGTGCTTCTTCTTACACTCGATTATCAAAACCACAGTTCAAATCGATGCAAAAAACCTGCGAATTTTACCGCCAAAACTGAAGCGGCAACGGCAACTAAAGCGCGCAGAAACGGGAAAGGGTATAATATGAACCCTTTTTATTTCGCTTAGGTTGGAGTTAATGGAATAAATTAGGGATGATATGGTGGGGCGGATAATGTTTTTAGTTTATCAGTTTGCTTTGATCTATTTTGTTAAGCTTGTTAATTTGTTGGAACTCGTAGGACGGATGAGTAATTAATAAAAAATAATTTTTTATTATAATAAAATTAATTATAAAGATAATATATAAAATTTAAAATAAAAAAAATTAAAAAAGTATTAATTATTTTTATTTTTATGACTTAAATTAAAAATATAAAAATTATTAAAATATGAATAATATAAAATTTTATCAAATAAAAAAATATAAATATTTAAATTTTTTAATATAAAAAATATAAATTTTATAAGTTTTAATGTTATATATATATATATTATTTATTATTATTATATAAATTTTATTAGTGTTCTAAATTATAATTTCTTAAAATAATGTAATATATATATATATATATATTAAAGTATTGACAAATAAATAATAATCTTATTATTAAATTTATTGAAATTTTTTATTTTAAAAAATAAATTATTTTTTTTTAAATTATGGCGAGTCGATCCATCAACTTGTCTCTTGTCTCTTGACAGGATGAGTCAAGATCTACGATCTATCATAATTATAACAAGTCTGTCTCATCCCACTTTTAATAAACCGGAACAAGACACGAGGTTAAAACGAGGTGCATTGACCCATTTTGCCATCCTAAAATAAATGTAAACTAATTTACTACTCCTACGTTTTGTTGAAACAATTAGTTTTTTTACTTTTTAAACTTAATTAACGTTGTTCTTTCACAAAAATATTATTTTTACCAAATTTTTAAACTAATATATTCTTACATATTTGGAAAATTTAACATGAGTTTAAAATATAAAAAACTCTTATTAAATTATATTAAAAGATATCCACATTCCCTTTAATTTTAAAATAAATATTTATTTTAAAATAAATATTTATTTTTAAATAAACATACATCAGTCTCATTTTTAATAAATTATATTTATCTTCTTTATAATTTTAATAATATGATATTTCTTTTATTTTATCATAAAATTATTTCCTTTAAAAGATCTTCATCTTTTTATATTTTAAACATTTTTAATTTTTACATGTTTTATTTAAATTTTAACTAATATAATACTTTTAAATTAAATAACGTAAAAAAAATATTTTAAATTATTATTTCTTAAATCCTCAACACTAAACAATAAAACAATTTAGAAAAAAATGTAAATGCAACTTTATGCAAATATAAATAATATATAATGTTTAAAATAAGAATATAATAATAATTTGATGCGAAGTTTTTAGTGCAAATTAATACCGTTATAATTCAGTTTTATTTGTTTTGTTTATTGTTTCATTTTCTGCCTTCTATTACGTAGCTTTTAGCTATTTAATATAATGCTCTTTTATATTTTATTTATTTATTCGATACATATTTTTAATTTAATAAATATTTTGATTCAATTTTGTTGTTTTTTTTTCTCTTTCTTTGCAATCTCAACAAACATAAACCCATGCAGCACCACGTTTTTCACAAGTGTTGAAACGTCCATATCTCTTTTTCATAAATGTTGAAACTTAGTTTTACCACTTTTGGATGTTATGGTATCACAATATAACTTTGTTTTTTTTTTTGTATTTTTTATGTATATTATTATTTAGAATCAAACTTCAACATATTAATATTTAATTTTTTCTAGTCCTTACTACTTTCACAATGGTAAAAATTCTCCTATGATTTTAGTTTCCCCTCAACTAAATGGGACCAACTACTACTCATGGAGTAGAAACATCGTAAAAGTCCTCCTCTCTAAAAATAAATTGAAGTTTGTTGATAGCAGCATCGAATCACCCCAACACAATGATCCTCTTTATGAAGCTTGGGAAAAATATAATGTTATTGTTCTTTTCTGGATCATTCACACTTTATCCACTCAAATCGCTAAAAGTTCTATCTATATTAACAATGTTAAGAATCTTTGGGAAGATTTGAACCAGAGATTCTTTAAAGAATATCATTTTCAAATTTCTGATTTGTTTCAAGAAATTTATCCCATTTGTCAAAGAGAAAGAGATGCGTCAGAATTCTATATTAATCTTACAATTCTTTAGGAGGAGTTGGAATCACTTAAATAATTTGTTGATTGCTTTTGCTATGTCTCCTAGAATTATGGGTTATCCAAATTTTTTACTAAATACATAGAATTTGAGTATGTGTTATATTTTTTTAAGGGTCTTAGTGATACCTATACTAAGGTCAAGACTCAAATTCTTCTTATGAAACTCTTACCTAACATTAATCATATTTTCTCTTTGGTTCTTTAACAAGAAAGACAAATTATTGGTAATGTTGTTATTGAAGCTAAAACCCTAAACAATATGACTAGAACTCATTTCAATTCAAAATTGCAAGGACAAGAAAGTGGAAATAACTCGAAATGTCAAGCAAAGGGTAGAGGTCGTAATCCTAACTATGAGAAACATTGCACCTATTATAATAAATTAAATCATTCTATAGATGAGTGTTGCTCCAAGTATGGATATCCTCCATGGTATAAATAGAAAAGTGAACATGCCACGAACAACATTATAGCAGGTAATGAACAAATAATTGATATTGATAACAACAATGAACCTATGTAGAATAATCATCAAATTGTCAATCAAAGCAACAATCGTTTTATTGTTGATCAAGTTTAGCAAATCTTGAAAGTGCTCTAAGATTCTTCTGGACAGAACTTACTAGTGAGACCTTTGCCCAAGATAAAAACAAAGGTAAATCTTCTTGGATCCTTAACACAGGAGTCATTAGTCATATTATTAACAAGTATTCTTATATCATTAGCTATTACAAAATTAAATTTGTCCCAAGTTAAACTTTTTAATTATTCTTTCATTAATGTTATGCTGGGACAATAAAATTTGTTGAAAACTATATAATTTGTAATGTTTTGTATATACCCAATTTTACTTTCAAACTTATTTCTATCCAACGTTTAATTTGTGATCTTATTTACCAATTAACTTTTACTATCAACATCATTGGGCATGCTAATCTTGGAGGTCTTTACTATCTACCAAAATCTTTGCTTTCAATCCAAAATTGCCACATTTATATCAATAATTTTGCTCACATTCATAAAAAGTCTAATATTGATGTTTGGCATCTTAGACTTGGTTATTCTTCTAATAAAATTATTGAACACATTGGTAAAAGTTACTCCTATATATATTTTGATTTTGACAAGCCAAGTGATACTTGTCATTTTGCTAAAGAGCATAAACTTTCTTTTCAATAATGTCATAATATTTCTTTAAATCTTTTTTATCTTATGTATGTTGATATACGGGCCCCTCTTATTGTTACTTCTATTCATGGACATAACATTTTTTTAATTGTTGCGGATGATTGTACTAGACATACTTGGATTTTTCTCATAAAAGTTAAAAGTGAAACTAGGGATCTTTTATTAAATTTTGTCATGTTTGTTAAGAATTAGTTTATTTCCAACATTAAAGGCATTAGATATGATAATGGGAAAGAATTTGATTGTATTAATTTCTACAATGAGTTTGCCATACTACATCAAAAGTCATATGTTGAAATTCCTAAGCAAAATTTCATTGTTGAAAGGAAATACCAACACATTTAAACATGACTCAGTAAAATCTTATTGTTCTTATATTGTTAAACATGTTGTTCATCTTATAAACATGTTTCCTTTTTATTGTCTTGAATAAAATCTCTCTTTGAAATTCTTTATTGCCTCCTAAATATTCTAATTTAAGAGTTTTTTGGCTCTCTGGTTTTTACTTCCACTCTTGAGAATAATAGGAGCAAACTTGATTCTAGATCTAAGAAATGAATTTTTCTTGGATATAAAAATATTCTTATTGACATGAAAAAATAGAGAAATCTTCATAAGTAGAAATGTTATTTTCTATGAGCATATTTACCCTTACATGAATAATAATTCTAACCATATTCATAATTATTATATTCATAATGACTTCAAATTTTTACTTGACAAAATTACACACACACATGAATGAGGTCTTCAAAATGATGTTGATAGAGATGTTATAAGTGCTCAAAATGACATTGACATAATAAACACCAATCATAATGATGCAAGCACCATAAATGATATAAATGCTCAAAATGACATGAACAAAGTCAACACCAATCATGATAATACTAATATTGATAGAACAAACACCAACAATGATCTTCGTATATCAACCAGAATCAGAAGAGCACCAAAATTTCTTGTTGATTATCATCATCAGATGAACAGTTCTGCCAAATTTAATCCCGTTGAAGGCAAAGTATTTTTTCTTTTATTATCTGTTTTATCTTACAACTCTCTTTTTGACATACATTTACATTACACCATGGTTGTTTCATCCAACGAGGAACGTACTTCCTATGATCATGCTTACCTTGCTCCTGAATGGGTTATTGTTATGGATCATGGAATTAAAGCCTTAAAGGAAAACAACACTTGGTACTTGACAAATTTGCCTTCCGAAAAATCCCTATTGGATGAAATTGGTATATAAGATTAAATACAAAGTTGATGACACTATTGAAATAGATAAAGCCCAACTTATTACTAAGCGTTACACCTAGCAAGTTGGAGTTGGTTATCTCAAGACATATTCTCCAATAACGAGACTTATTACTGTCCGTCTTATTCTTGCTTTAACAACTACCCAGAATGGGCATCTCCATCAACTTGATGTCAACAATATTTTTTTATATGGAGGCCTCAATGAAGAAGTTTATATGACCCTTCCTCTTGGTCTCATTGCTCCTAAGAGGAATCAAAATCCTTGTATGGA